AGGGGTCCCACAAAGAGGTAAAGGAGGTAATTGCCCACATAAGAGCGCTTTAGGTAGGAAAGGGGCAGGGAAGAACAAGGGAAAGGGAGAGAGGGAAGAGGGTGACTCTTGGAGACACTGACACGCAGTAGTTGATGGATAACAACGGCGACATTAATAGCTACCTCTCAGCTCTTACCTTCGCCAGCCGCTGCTCTAAGCGTTGTGTCTGTATTAGGTCATTTAATATTAACAACAATCTTAGGAGGTAGTCCATTCTGCAGGCGAGAAATTGAGGCGTTGTTTGGTTAATGTGATGTGAGGGGCAGAGCCAAGATACATATAGTAATGGCAAAGTTGTGCTGGCTGCCAGGCAAGTTCTAAAGGCTTATTTCGTCTTTACAACAGCCCTTTGAGATAAGTCCTGTTATAACCCCATTGTACAGATGAGGACAGGGAAGCACAGGGAGGTTAAGGAAGTGTTCAAGTCCTCAGAGCTGGTAAGTGTAGAGCTAGAATTCAAACCTAGGTGCACTGGTCCTCAAACTGGAACTTCCATTCCTAACATTTTGTTTAAGGATGGGGGTGTGGAGGGACCAGCAGACCCAGTGGAGTAACCCTGACCCGCACCTGCACGATGCCAGCAGAGTGCAAAGCACTTTCTCCTAGCGCGCAGAGCACATCTTTGAAAGCTTCTCGCCGTCCTCAGCTCAACACCCCCGAGGGACTGGCAGGGTCCTCCTTTTTTCTCTTTGTGTACCCCCCAGGTTCCTTGCTCTAACTCCTTCACCTACCAGCCTGAGGACTGGGCCCAGGCTGCATTCTGGGGGAGACGCCGTCTTCCGCCTGTCCCCCGGACGAAAGGAGGTTGCTAGCCCCAGAATGTTCACAGCGACGCACCCCTGAGGTGGTTCTGCCGGCGAAGCTGAGTTTCAAGGACATGGATCTGTTCTTAGAATGAATGCTGTTTGGGGAGGCTGGCAGGAGGGGGCTGATGGAGACTGGATTAACTGAACCCATCTTAGCCCCATCCCAACGGCCCCATCTTGGAGCCGCCACTGGGCGAGGGTCTGGACACCTGGCTGGTCTCCACCTCTTGTCAGCCTGCTCTCTCTGGTCAGTATTGGACTCCTCCGGGGTTTCCTCAGCGACGCCGCGTGGTCTGGGGGTTTGGAGACCCTCCTCCTCCCCAGCCTGCCCGCCCCCGGCCCTCCCCCGGCCCTCCTGTCGCCTCGGCCTCCCACGTAGCGTTTTGAACCAGCTCTGCGCTAAGGCAAGAACCAGCGTGGAGAGAGGGCAGGGCGAGCAGAGGTTCTAAATCTTCCTTCCCTCTGTGAGTAGATGGAGTCTGAGAAACAAATTCAAAGCAGGCGCGCCTGCAGAGGCTTCCTGCAGAAATATTCTCCGGCATTCAAGCGCATCCAGGGGCGGCTTGAGCTGCCTTGTTTGGCTAAGGTCAGACGAGACTCGAGTTCTCCAATAAAAATAAATCTCAAATTAATTATGGCCTCGAGCGAGAGGCCAGACACTTGAAGCTGCAGTTGTGCAGTCTGGAGTTTTGGCGCTTGCCCGCCCACCCCTCCCGTTTTCTCCCGCCCTCTCCTCCTCCCCCTTTGCCAGCTCGGATACCCGTTGCGGCCTCGCTGGACCAGAGGGGGGTGGGAGGGGAGGACTAAGGACGGAGGGAGAGGAGCCGCCCGAGACATTCTGCCAGGCCTGGCATCCTGCGGAGTTTCAAGTGACGGAGCCACCCTTGGGTCTGGTACCCCAGGGACCAGGCTCAGATCGTCAGGTCCGCCCACTCCAAACCCAGGCTGGGGCCGAAGAAGCCCGGGAAGCCCGTGTCTGGAAAGTCTTGACCGGGTCAAAAGGGCTGACATTGAGCGAGCCAAGACACGTTTCGACCCGCCGCTCCCCTCCCTGGGGAAGCAGGACTTCCGCGTCTTTGAAAATACTGTCAAGTGCGAATGGTGCGAGGCAAGTCGTCTCACCAGCGTTCCAAATGAAAATGCTCCAAGTCCAAATATTTCCTGAGTATTCACGCCCATGTGCACGCTTTCTGTAAGTGACCCCAGACTTGGAAATATGTGGTGGGCTGTTTTGTTGTTGAGATACTTTTTTCTCCAGTTGGTAGCTTTTGTTTTAAACACTGGGAAGAGCTTCCTTGGCTGTGAGCTGCCTCTGACTTGAAAGCCAACCCTGAGTTGGTGGAATGTGAGCTGTCGCTGATGGCACTCATACCAGCTCCTGTTCAGCAGCTCTGCCCAGTCTGGGAACGGGTGAGGCCATTGGAGCCATGGTGAGCCAGGAAAGAGGGTGTGCACAAGTGTGTGGGCAGGGGCAACCTTCCCCAAGCTAGGCCCAGAGACTAAGGAAAGAGGAAAGAGAGAGGAGAGGAGGGAGAAGAGAGGGAAGGGGAGGTCTGCCCGGCTAACACAAGACAGTTTTCATTTGTAGCGGCCCTCACCGCAGGCTCTCTATCAATTTGTCTCAATGCAAACATTCAAAATATTCCCTTTGGCTGCTCGTGAAAACAATGTGAGCTGCCAGGATCAAACCATCTTTCCAGATGTCTGGTGGTAACCACATTAAACAGGGTAGACTTGTTTACTATTGTGCTTGGTTAGTGCGCTTCCCCCACCCCCTTTCAGGATTTAAAAAAACAGCAGCAGCAGTGGAGTTGAGCATCAAACCGCGAGTTACATAAGAGTGGGGCAAACTGACCCACTGGCATGCCAACACTGGATGGAGGAAATCTGAGATTCCTGCAGAGATCTAGTCAGTTAGGTGGGGGTCTTCTTTCTGGGTGGAGACCTCTGTGAATGGACAGGAGCTTCTCCAGGGGGCTGAAAATTGCCAACAACAGTGGCACCAGTGCCAGTCTATGAGTCACAAAGGGGAAGTTGTGCCTGTGTGTATACATCTAGTGGTGCCTGTGCCAGCCTGTTCACTACCCCCTGCCCATCTCCAAAACTATGAAATTGCCATAGCTTTGGAGAAACAGAAAGTGCTATCAAGTTCCACAGTTAAAACTAAGGGGCAAGTCTTCATTTTAATCCAGTTCCATATTGAACACTTCCAATGGGGGAGGCAGCTGGTGCTGAAAGGAATTGGGGGACAGTATAAGGATGTTCGGGTGACTACTGACTAATGTAGTGAAGATGATCTGTCGCTTGCCAGACCAACAGGAGTTGGAAAGAGAAACCTAGCCATGGTCTGTCACAGAGGAACCCTCTAAAGTGCTAGGAGGAGGGTGGGGGGCAGTCACCACCTGTGGAATGCCATGAACAGCCTCTGCAACTGCCCAGCAGCAGGAAGGGGGCCTCCTGGTGGTGGAGTTGGAGTCCTTTCTGCCTGAAAGACGAGCAGTGTGGCTGGGGTGTGCGGGTTTCTGGTGAGGTCCGGGTGGGAAGCCCTGTCTCCGCATTCTCCTGAAAGCTCTGTTGTAGTTTGAAGGTCGGTAGAGCCTGGGCTGAAAAGGAAACAATCTGGGGTTTGAAAGGATGTAATTCATTCTTCCTTTCCCGTTAACCTCTTTCCTCTCTGGAAAGCATGTGGAAACGCTGAAGGGAGGAGTGAGAGGGCAGGCAGCCTGCCGCGGGGAGGAAAGGGTTAAGCCTGATTTCTTTTAATTGAACTCCAGAACTGGTGGCCCCAGGCAAAGGGGGGGACTGACCCCGCTAGCGGTAACCAGATGTGGCGGTCCCAGGGGAGCCCCGGAGCAGACCCCTGGATTGAGAAGCAGACAGGAGCGGGGGGAGTCAGCCCGGCCCCCATCCCACCATCCACCCCACCCCCACCCCCAACACGCACACCGAGTCTCAATTGCTGGCAGGCTGCACCCGCCACTCCAGGTCTGGTCACGTTCAGACCCGTGTCTGTATTCGAACCCAAAATTGCAGCTGAATTGATGAGACTAATTTCTAGAGAGGGAGGGGGAGGGAGGGAGGCGAGTGAGCTCTCGGGCTCAATTGCTCCTGAAGAAATAAAGAATCAATAAGTCACCTTTTTCCGCCTCTGTGGACACCCTTTCGAAATTTTTTCTTCCAATTGACTTGGATCTCCTCTGGATTTTTTTTCCCTCTTTCCCCCGTCGGACTCTTAAATAAAAGTGAGCAAGTCCAAAGCGTGGTCTGGAGAGCGTGGACAAGGTAACCTGTTTTGGATGTCCGGGAGAAGGGAGTCCGGCCAACAGAGCCCAGCCCCCGAGGCTGCTCCAACTGGGGCGCGCGGCGACCCAGGAGGGAGGGAGGGAGGGAGGTCTCCGGGTGGGCCGGGGAACGCCGGCCTCCAGGCTGGGTAGGGAGGACGGTCCAGAGCGCGGGCCTCCGGGTCTCATCCCGGGAAAATTCTGGGTCTGCGCTGCGCTGTTGCGTGCTGCGCTCCTGGGACCTGCTGACTGTCGTAGAGGGAACGTCCGCCGTAGTGTCAGTTCCTTGGGGACCAGGAAGGGCGACTCTTGCCTGGGAGTCAGTGCTTGGGCCGTCGGGTCCGGGTAAGCGCCGGGGGTTTGGCTCGAAAGATGCGGATAGGTGGCCTAGGGCACCGCGGATCTCCGCCCTCTGCGGGCACCGGGAGCCCAGGGTCGAGGCGCGCCGCCCCGAGGGGCCCCTTCTCCTAACAATGCGCCCCGGAATGGAGTCCGCTCCCTGACAGCGCGGGTCAGCCCGAAACCGCCCAGAATCCGCTTCGATGAGTGGGTGAGCCGCTCTGGGAGTCTGCCGCGTCTCGGCAGCGGAGGGCCTGAGTGGAAAAATTCTTATTGGATGCACTTTTTAATGGTTGGTTTGCCTCGGTTTGCGTCCCCGGCAGTAGGCGCTGGGTTACCCGCAGCCCTAGTCAACTCTCCCTCCGTACCCGTCCCCCCCTCCACACACACACTACCCTCAAAACGTTTGTCTCCGGCTGGAAAAAGCATTAATGAACGTATCTGTGGGAAGAAACGGAAAGTGAATGAGTCAGGAGGGCCACCTTCGGCCAACCGCCTCAGGAAAAGCAAAGAAGCCAAAGGTCTTTGGCTTTGGATTTTGGGGGAAGGTGATGGGGGGGGGAGGTGCAGACTTCGGGAATCAGGGCGCGGACGCTGGGCGTGGACCCCGTCATTGTTCCCGGCTAGCTCTTATCTCCCGGGAGCAAGTATCCTGTGTGCGCAGCGCGTGAATGTGTCTGGGCATCTCCGCGTATATTTATATAGTGTGTGATGCGAAAAGCAGGACCAGCCGAGGGAAGGAAGAGGGGGTGTAGGGGGAGGGAAGAAGAGGGAGAACAGAGGGGAGAGAAGAGAGAGGAGAGCTCGAGGCGAGAGAGAGAGAGAGAGAGAGAGAGAGAGAGAGAGATAGGACTTCCTCCCCGATTCGCAAAGTGAAGTCACTTCCCAAAATTAGCTGAAAAAAAAGTTTCATCCGGTTAACTGTCTCTTTCGCTCCGCTACAACAACAAACGTGCACAGGGGAGCGAGGGCAGGGCGCTCGCAGGGGGCACGCAGGGAGGGCCCAGGGCGCCAGGGAGGCCGCGCCGGGCTAATCCGAAGGGGCTGCGAGGTCAGGCTGTAACCGGGTCAATGTGTGGAATATTGGGGGGCTCGGCTGCAGACTTGGCCAAATGGACGGGACTATTAAGGTAAGCGGCGGGGCAGTGGGCGCGGGCGGCGGGGACAGGCCGGGTAGGCGAAGCGGCGGGCGGGTAGGTGCGGGGCCCGCGTCCCGGAAGACGTGGCCGCTCTCCCTTCCTTCCTCGCCCCGGCTTCGCGCCGGCTCCTCCGGCGCTCGGGTGGCGAGTCCTACTCGCGGGCCAGCCGGCCAGGCGCCTCATCGAGGGCGACCTCCCCCTAAATCCCTGCCCCAAAGTGGAGCCCGACCCCCTCCCACCTCGCTGCCCGCCGGGCTGCAGGAGGGGGAGGCGGGAAACCTGGGGACCCCGGGTGCAGACCCGAGTCAAGGGCGGGAGACCTCGGGGTCCACCACTCCCACCGGCACCCGGAGCTCCCTGGCCCCAGCGCTGGGCACTGGGCTTCCTCTCCGCAGAGGCCGAACACGGCGGGGGCGGGGGCGGGGGCTGCAGCCGCCCCCCCTCGGGTCCCTGCCTGGTGGGCCCTGGGGTGGGTAAGTGGCCTCGTCGCGGGAGGGTAGGGGTGCAAGTGAGTGTGTCGCGGGGGCTCTCTCTGAGCGGGCTCCTCCAGATGGAAGCCCCTGTTTACATGTCAGCGCTTTCCCTTCCTCTCGGCACTCAGTCGCCCGGCTCTCGGCGCTGGAGAGCTGCCGGCTCCGCGGGACTCCTGGGCCGGCCTCGCCGCCTCTCCGGCGGGGAACCTTCCCCAGCCCCGGTTCGCGCAGATCCTTAGCGCCCCGCGCCCCGGCCCTTCGCGCCCAGGCGTGCGCCGGCTCCAGGACAAGGGCTCCTGGAGCTGTCGCCTCTGAGAGGGTCCTGCGTCCTTCGGAGCCGCCCCCACTGCAGGGGCCGGCTGTGAGCCCGCGCCCAGCGCCCGCCCGGCCAATCCCACCCCCGCCGCCGCCGCCACGCCTGGGTCTAGGTTGCAAAGTGCAGCCCAGGAGGAAAGGTGAGGGTTTGGGTTCGCGTCTCACTTCAGAAAGGTTGACTACTGTCTCTCAAAGGGTTCGCCAAGTGGGGCCAGGAGCAGGGAGGAGGGAAACCCCCTAACGTGACAGACCTTAGAGGACCTAGGGAAATGAATGGGACCAGGGGTTAGCTTCGAGGCTGCCGCGCAACACCAAGCGGGAGTTTGTCTGGAGAAACTATTAGGCTGGCGAGGTGGGGACTGGCAGAGCCCGCCATTCCCCAGAACCCGAAGGAGTCCACTCCCTGCTCTGGGCTCAGCGAGAGGAGGCTAAGATGTTGGGCTCAGAGGATTCAAGAGATTTTTATCTTCTGGGTGGGGTCGTGGTTTTTATTTTCTAAGTTTTTTTTTTTTATGAAAGTTTGAAATATGCTGACTTAGGTAAAAGACACCAACCGAAGGAACTTGCAAATCTGGAGATGAGATAACTGATTGTAATGGGTTAAAGGGAGCTTATAAGAGCCTCTAAGAGCCTGGGTTCCTCAAACCCAAAGTGAGTAGGTGAGAAGTAGGTGAGAGGGGATTCCTGCCAACACCCAAGAGTGAGGGTCACTGGGCCATTTTATGCCTGTTTCTCTGCTTCCTGTTGATGTGTGCATGCAAGTGTCTCTGTATTTCTGGGTTTAGTAATGAGATGCTCCCCTCTAGAAAACTCCCTCCCCCCAATCAGGACAGTTACCACTTACTCTGAAGGCCTCTTCTGATCCAGAAGGGTGGTAAGATGGCCTCAGGGTCTTGATGTGGACACCCTAAGGAAAAGTGAAGAAATATCTCCACACTGCTTAAACTCTACGCACAGGCCCTGAGCAAAAGGAGGAAGCTGTGGTCTGTGTACCCAGGATGTGCTAACCTCTTTAGATACACACAGGGATTGGCATGGCAGGCCTCAAGAACAGGCTTAGAGCAGGAACCTGACACTCCAGGCCAAGGATGGGAGTGAAAGTCCTTTCTTTTCATGTGGGTGGTGGGATCCAGGAGCTCCTCCAAACCCTCCCTGTGAATAGGCTGTCATTCACCTGAGTTACCTGGCTAGGCTGAGTCCCCACAGAGCTATCTTTAGTCTGCAAGCATTCTGCAGGATTGAGCCTTTAGTGTATATTTTGGTGTTTAAGTTGTGTGAAAGCCAGTTTTCTGTTCGCATGTGACCTCTGGATCTTGGGGTTTCCAGATCCCATTCCTACAATAGTTCAAATACTGTGCTTGGAGAGGACAGTGGACCAGGAGAGAGGCCAGCATTCTTCTGCTGTCTTGGTGAGAATGCACCATCCATTAAGCCTGTCTGAGCCTCATCATCATCACAAAAATGAAACAGTGGAACTGGGTTGACTCTATAGTAGTATCTTCCCAATCTTCTCAAGGCCTAAAATATCATGCTCATATGCGTTTACAAGAACACTTACCTGTATGTGCGCTAAATCCAGCCCTACACTGATCGAGGTTGAAGACACTACAGAGCGGGTCTAATTTGTGGACACAAATCCAGGATGTCCATTTCCAGTTTGAACTGCCTGATAAAATCAGGTTTGAGTGATTCTAGGATGTGATTTTATGCACCTGCATAGTTCTTCCTCAAATATAAGACATGTCTGTATTTCAAAATATCTGTGGGTCTCGGCACTCAGGTGATATTTGGTGCAGGAAGCCAGGGAAATCTGGATTTCTTCACAGAAGCCCTTTATTTTGTGCATAGTTTGCACAACTCTATGTGATTACAAAATCTCCATCTTGTTGCCCTCTTTATAAGTCCCTCCATATCATATTTTCTTCTCTTTTCCAAAAACAGCTCCTGGGAAGGCTCTGAGCATCACACTGGGAGAACCAATATTTGCTGGAGCCGTGCTACTCTTTTGTCACAGACAGGTTAACTTGAGATATTAAACAACACCCTACCCACGCCCCTGCTTCCCACACTGATATTATCAGTGTTAAAAAGCACATGATACTGTTTGCTGCTTTAAGAAATGACCTGGTTTCAAAAACTGCATCTTAGTTTTAGGCTGGCTTCAGTTGAATCCAGTTAATTTTATCTATGAATGCCTGACTCAATGTACATGGTGCCATTATAGATGGAGAGACAGAGAAGACAGACATGGTGAATGAAGGTGGGAAATAGAGAATGAACGGTGGATTTGGGGTCAGAAAGCCTGGGTTCATTCTCAGCTCTGCTACCTAGTAGCTGTGTGCCTTATAGCAAGGCACCTCTTGAATCTATTTCCTTATCTAGAAAATGGGGCCAAAGCACCTCCTTGCCACAAGTCATAGGAAGAATTTTTAAAGTCTGCTACCTTAGCTGGATACACATTAATTGAACTTCGTGTGCCTTACAGCAAGGCACCTCTTGAATCTGTTTCCTTATCTAGAAAATGGGGCCAAAGCACCTCCTTGCCACAAGTCACAGGAATAATTTTTTACAGTCTGCCACCTTAGCTGCATACACATTAACTGAAGTTTGCTTTTGGGAATGGGCATACCAGGACAGATTGGTCAGAAAATTAGAACACAGGTCCAAGTTTACCATCATGCATATTTGATTAATTCAACAAATATTTATGATGCATCTATTATGTTGCAAGGCTCTGCCCTGTGTATTGAGGATAAAACAGGGATCAAAACCCTCCAGGAATGTAGACTCTAGTGGAGGCGGCTGACACATACAGGGAACAGTCTCAGTTGAGTGGTGACATATCTTCTGAAAAGCAATAATGCAGGTTAGGGAACGGAAAGTAATGAAGCTATATAGCCAGGATGGTGAGGAAAAGCGAGTCTAACAAAGTCACAATTGGGCAGAGACACTCTCTCATCATCTACCTCAGAAGAGTGCAGCACCAGCCACGCAGCCGGCCAACAATGGACAAGCACAGCAGGAAAGAAGGGTCAGGGTTACTGCTGGCTCTGCAAGGCCCTGGAGGGGCAGGTTGTCACTGGCAGGGCAGGGAAACATCTGGACAAGGTTTAGGAGAAGCAGCAGAGTGAGGAATACTTGGGAACAGAGGCTTGACTTCTGTCCTCAAGAAGGTGTTGCTGCCTCCCTATACCACACACACCTTTTAATCTCCAAGTCCCCTGGATTCACAAGAACTCCAGACAAGATGGCCTCTGTCTGTTGATCTGTCCCCGTGACCACACAGAATTGCTCCCCTCAGGTAGTTACCAAGTGGAATCCTGTTTTGTGTGTGAATAATTTCCACCAAAAGGCTTCCTTCCAGTTCCACTGCTATCCAAATTTAAGTTTGTAGGTTGGCAACTTTAAAGCTTTAGAGAGTATTTAGCTTGACATTCTCACTTTATGCATGGGGAAACTGAGATCTAGGGTGTTATATGAATTGTCTAGGATCACACAGCAAACTACCAACAGAGTCATGGTGAAAGTTCAGGGCTCCGAACACTTAGGCCAGTGTTCTTTCCACTGTACCATGAAAATATCATTTGCTTTTGTTACATTTTTATGAATTATAGCACTGTGGAGGCAGTGTGTGTGCATTTGTGTGCGTGTGTGTGTGTGCGTGTGTGTGTGTGCGTGTGTGTGCGTGTGTGTGCGTGTGTGTGTGCGTGTGTGTGTGTGCGTGTGTGGTGTGCGGGTGGGTGGTGGTGGTGGGTGTGTGGTGCGGTGTGGTGGTGGTGGTGGCGTGTGTGTGTGCGTGTGTGTGTGTGCGTGTGTGTGTGTCGTGTGGTGTGCGTGTGTGTGTGCGTGTGTGTGTGTGCGGTGTGTGGTGTGGTGCGGTGTGGTGTGTGCGGTGTGGTGGGGGGGGGGGGGGGGGGGGGGGGGGGGGGGGGGGGGGGGGGGGGGGGGGGGGGGGGGGGGGGGGGGGGGTGTGTGTGCGTGTGTGTGTGCGTGTGTGTGTGTGCGGGTGTGTGTGTGCGTGTGTGTGTGTGTGTGTGTGTGTGCGTGTGTGTGTGCGTGTGTGTGTGTGCGTGTGTGTGAGACAGACAGAGAGAGAGAGAAGTCTTTAAAAGAAAAATCATAAAGAATTTGGCACTTTACACTGAAGACACCTCTGGTATTTAATGAAAAATATATACAAATGTATCACTACCATCTTGAATT